CTTTCATTTGAGTACCCACATGAATTTTTCATATATTTTATATATTTATATATATTATATATATGTATATATGAAAAATATATCAAAAATGCATGTGGGTATTCAAATGAAAGCTCTTAATGAGTGTAACATCAGAATGAGCTTATATCTTAAAAAATGTCAATATTTAAGAAAGTACAGTGCAATTTAACAAGAGTTATTATTTAATGAAGCAAAATTTAAATTATTTATAGTTCATAAGTCAAGGCAGTCACATGGTGACTGCAAGGCTGCTAGTTTTAATAAAATATTTTGGAGTAAACGTACCAGTTTGTTTATCAAGAGTCTGGGTAAATTGGTTGATTGGTGGTGGGACCTTCAATCTTTTGTAAAGGACAGCCCGTTGTCGCTGTATCCTGATGTACTTGGGCCATTTAACAAAACGACTCAGATCTCTGGATGGCTGGATATCTTGTCCGATACCGAAGTTACGAGTTCTCTTTTCGAAAAGAGGGTTGGTTACCTTCTTGGGTTCGACTTTCTTAACTGCTAAAGGAGCCGCAGCTACCTTCTTTCCGGTCTTCTTCTTCGGCTGCAAATTAATTAATTAATTATTGATCAGCAATAAATAATATAATAAATAAAAAAAATTATCACTAATCACACACATGTTACGCATAACCTCACTTTTGTTTTTAGACAATAAAAAAATAATTAACACATGCCGATAATTAAAATATGAAATTAATTATATTTATTAATTTAATTACCTTCTTTTGGACCATTTTTTATATCAAGAATCCCGTGGATTCCTTTATAATTAATGGAATAAAAATCGTCAGATTGCGGACAATACGCAATGTCTGACGGCAACTCGTTAAAGGAAGGCTTCTCTTTCTCTTGTCAGCGTGAGCGTGAATGTCGCCGTGGAAAGAAGACATTTTTAAAGATGGCGCCACGTGTTTGAGCCAAGCGCGCCAATTTTTAAAAAATTCAAATTAAAAATATTGTGTTATATTATTTTAATTTACAAAAAAATAAAATAACATTAAAGTAAGCAAGCACTTGATCATTTTTATCATTTTTTTAACAAAAAATTATTTTTAAAAAATTGCACTTTTAATTTTTTTTTATTCTTTTTGTCATAATTTATTCATTAAAAAAATTTTTATTTTATTATTCAATAATTGTCAAATTAATTTTAATAAAGAAAAAATATTTTATAGAAAAAATTCAAGTTTTTTTTTTTAATTAAAATTAAAATTCAACGTTAATTAAAATCAAATTATTTAATGACACTGCTCGAAAAATTTTTTATTTTTCTTGAAAAAAAGCGCTATTGGAAAAAAAAAATAGAATTTTTTAAAGAAAAAAATGTAAAAATACATTTTTTGAAAAATTTTTAAGAAAAAATACTTGAAATTAAGGGTTTAAAAGTTATAAAAATGCAGCAATACTAAAAATCAGGTATTAAACTTTGCAGTTACTGTTAGTTTTAAAAGTTGGGCAGCCGTAGTTATTAACAAATTACTTTTCAATTAACGTTGGTTTTTTTTTTTTTTTTTTTTTTTTTTTGATTAAACAATTACTTTCTTTATTTTCTTTACTCGCGTCTTGATGATAATAATTTTTATAATTTTTTAAAAGCTATAAATTAATCATTATAAAACTAATTGAAATTAGTTCCTTTAAATAGCTTTACATTTAGCCGTTAGTCAATGAAAATATTGTTAATAACGTGAAAATCGATTCATTCATTCAAAAGTTATAATAAATGCAATTGTGAGCGCTCAAGTATGGAATTAGCGGGAAGTTGCCGGGATGGCCTTCAGGGTCAACCGTTTTCCTAATTTTTTTGATTATTATTGTTATCTAATGATAGTCACGTAGTTTTTACGACTGCTCAGAATTTTCCAGAGCATGAACATCAAGGGTGTCAATTATTCAGCTGTCGGTAAGTTTCAGACCTTTAATTAATTATTATGCACACCATTTTACCTACATAATAACGCACATACACATGAATATTTATTTAAATTATTAATCTAAAACATCATTAATAAAAATATTTATTTAGCATTGTACAACAGTAAGAACTGCTTTTTACAATTTTTTTATCACAGTATCTTAAATTAATTCTCCATCTTAGTAAGTACTTAAAGCTTTAGTTCTAGCACCACAATTATTTAAATATTTCATTTTAAAACATCATAAATACAATTAAATGCAGATAAATCAACCCTTTAAAATTTTAATTTAAAGCAACGTTACTTTCGACAAATAAAAATAAATAATTCCATCTGATCGGTGCTTACCGGGCATATTTGTCCCGTAGCGTTAAAAACTATCAGAAAACCATTAAATTAAGAGCAAAACAAAATAAAAAAAAAAAAAAACAGCTTTGATTAGCGTGATTCCACCTTCGGAGCGCAAATAGCAAACATTTAATCTGCGACGATATTGACATTGTCCCGGCCCTCGTATCGATACAAGGAGAATAATTGAGACTGTTTGGATTGACATGAGGAATTATTTGTCAATGTGGATGTTTAACAGAAAAATAATATATATTACAAGTTAGAGCCCACTAAATAAACACATTTGCTGTTAAACATTAGGCGTATTATTTTTTACGAAGCATTTCTTTATCTGGAGCTTATCGCGGCGGCTTAATGTGCCCGCGGAGGAGCATCAAATCTCCATTTAGCCGGTGTTGTTATTATACTGGCGCTTCTTTTATCATTTGTTAAGGGAAAATGACTGAAAGCTATAAACCTACTCTTGTGAGTCGAGGAAATGGAAAAAGAAAAATAAAGGCGTATAAATATAAGCAGAAGCGCGTTGTATTGCCCCTCGGGATCGTTGTTGAACCCATTGCCTTTACTCTGTCTATATGTCTATGTTTTCCGCCTGCAGAACCTGCCTGCACCCTTTTTGCCACGTCTACTCTGGATTCGTAACTCAAGGTGAGATTGTTAGCACCAAGGGTGGAAGCCTCTGAGGCTATTGTGCGTTCAAGAGTACCTGAGTGTTAGTTTATTGTTATCCGGTACCCGGTGGGCAACTTTTTAATTTTTAAATACCCTATTAGAATCAGGTGTTTGTCTGGCACTTCAAGTTAACTATCTAATTTTTTTTTTTTTTATATAAATTTTATTGTTCATTTTTGTTTTGTTAATTATTTTCATTTGGTAATTTGTCAATTTTTATTTACTATTGGAAGATAATTAGCTAGATAAGGGAACTTTGTGGTTAAATTAATAGTGGCTAATTTAGTCGAGTGTTTTTTCGACAACAAGTATAATTATTTATCTGAAATATAATATATTCTTTCATTTTTTTATTATAATATAAAATTTATCGTTGATATTATTTATCGAAATTTATCAACACAGAAAAAAGAAAACTTGAAAAATTACATTATAAATAGTAATAAGTGTCTCGTCATATTGAAAACTAGAAAAATTACAGTTCGAAATAACACTTTTTTAAATTCAAACTTTGAATATTAATTTTCAGAGCTTTCAATGTAAATATTACATTCTAGAATAAAATCTGTAATAATTACAATCTAAAACTGTAATTTTTCCGTGAAAAATTGATTTTTTATCGATTAAAATTTAAGCGAAAAATTTTAATTGATAGTATATTAATTAAGGATTATTTATTAAAAATTATTGGCTTTATTATTCCTTAACACTTTAAATATTTAATTTTATTTTTATTTATAGTTACAATAAATATTTTTTATTAATATTCGATATAAAATGTCTTTAAATAATTATATCAATCTAAATTCATCGATAGTTTTCTTTTTATTATAAATATTTTTTACTTAGGTGGATTATTATCATTTTAAATGTTTAATTTTTAATATTTTATCGTTAAAATGACAATTTTTAATTAATAATTTATAAAAAATATCTTTAAATATTGATTTTTTTCTAAATTTATAAGTTTGCATTTATTTCTTAGTGATTTTTATATAATTTTCCACGTTCTCAATAATTTTTCCAATAATTTTATCTAATTTATATAAATATTACTTGCTTTTAATATATTTTATAGTCATAAATTAAAAATGTTTGAATTTTCAAATTTTTAATAAATTTTTCAACAATTTAATCTGTTTTAAATTAATATTACTTGTTTTTAATAATTTCTACAATTATAAATTTAAAATAAAAATTCTTTGGAGTTAAAAAAAAATTATTAATTAAAAAAAAGCTGCAAAATTTTTGTCAAAATTATTCAAAAAATATTTTTTTTAATTTTTAAATTAAGTAGACTCAAGATTAAAATTTTAGCTTAAATTTTTAATACAAAATTGATAAATCAGTGTCCTGAATATTTAATTAATAATTAATTATAATTTATTTAAAGAAGATTCAATAAATTTTTACCAATTAAAATTTGTTTAAATTAAACTATCAATAAAGTGCTTAAAAAAAAAAATATCAATAAATTTCAATATATTAACTCCATTTTACTTTCGTCTGCATTTATATGTTATTAATATATTTATAGCGACAATAATCCATAAGCCTTAATCCAAAAAAACCTTCAGTGAACCCTCTGTTCATTAATTTTACTTTTTACATTATTCCACATACTCCATAATGTTTCCCGCGGGGCGTGAGTTACAAGAAAGCGCGAGCAGAGGATTATTCGTCATCAGAGGTAAAAAATAAAAAGCAGTGATAAAAATAAAAACTTATGGTATTGCCTCTAAAAATCAATGCGCTACAGCTCGGAGTAGTAATAAAAACTTATAGGGATTATTTTATTTTTAATATTTAGTATTAGTATTCTACAATTGAATGTTCGGAAAGAACAAGCGCCAATAACCGTGTTATGTAATGGCCCGCTGGGTCCAATCGCTCGAAATTAATGTTTCGCCCATTATTAGCAGAAGTTAGTTAAACTTGTAACACGCTTGGTCTCGAAACTTCCAACTTCAAGAAATACTTGTACTTATTCTTTTATAAAGTACTTTTGCTCGCCTTCAGATGAGTGGTGTGAGTTTTTTTTCTAGAAAAAAAAGAAAAATTTAAAGATTTTTAAGAAGCTTTACAAACTCTTCTAAGTATTTGTAAAATTTATTTTCATTTATTTTATTGTTATCGGGTAAAAAAATTTTCTGATGAATTACAGAATGTATGTAAAAATAAATAAATAATTTATTATTTTTTTTATACAAATTTAGACGTCAATTAATATGTTTAATTAAACAAAAAATTATTTAAGTATTTAATAAAACTTAATTAAAATTCCAGAAGAATTTTTTGATGTAAAAATACATTAAATAATTTTTATAGACATCATTTTTGTTAATTGTAACTATTATTCGTTTTTAAAGAGCATAAAAAGCTTATTAAAAAAGTTAAAAAAAAATATTATGTATATTTTAAAATTTAACTCTCTAGTTAGGAGAAGATTAAGCGATCATGCGCCACCTATCGGAGTTTTTCAACACTATTTTTTAAAAAATTATAAATGGCCGTACCAGAAAATATTTCCAAGGGATTTTGTCAACTTTTGTTAACAAACGGAATAAAAATAGTTTAATAGAAAATAAATTTTAAATTGGCAAAAGTTGATTAAGTAAACTTAAAATTTGTTCTTGAAAAGCGGTAAAAAAATTTTTGTAACTTAGGAACAAAATAAATTGACAAAAAATTCATTGTTTGGGTCAATTTTTTTTTTTTTTAATGTACTTTTTTTATCTCAAAAAATCTCAATAAATAAATATTTTATTCGGGGTTTTTTAATGAATCATCAATAA